AGCCACGATTATTTATCGATTTTAAATCGTATATGTCTGACTTTTTTGGTGTCTGTGAGGAAAATAAATGGGAACCAGAGCCCTCAGAATACTGAAATCTTGTAATTTTTTTAAATCTTTTTTCGCTTCTAATTTGTTATTCTTTTTTCTAAATAACCACACTGTTATTTACTCACCAATAACACACAATTATCCCTTGTTTTTATTTCTTTGTTTAATTCCATAATCTCGGGCTTTTTTTGGCATCCGTCAGGAACTGAATTTTCAAATAAAAATAACCGGAAACAGACGTAGGCCTAAGAGGACATTTCGAGGATCATTGCGATACACAGCCACTGAACTGATTACCCCAAGATCCTCAGCTATGGTTTTAAGCCTCGGCTGATTGGATGTTTGAACCCCAACAGCTTCCGGTCTTCCAGACCCGAACCGGATAAAAGACGTGCTGCAGGCACAAAACATACTACCAATAGAAATACATTGCTTTTAGAATCGTTCTGTGTGACACGAAAAAAGGGGAAATCGTGTGGTGAACACGAATCAATAGATTAAATGTCTCGTGACTATATACATGAAATGGCAGTGAGACTGGGTTGTTATACGGTATAGTTAGTCCTTGGTTAGGCCAGGCTCACTTTATGCTGCGTTTCCATTACAGTTTAGTAGCTGGGGCAGTAACTATAGTAACGAAGTGTAGGCGGAGCCGTGACGTCATCTTCAATGCGAACCACAGAAAAACAACATCAGCCGTTAGCTGTTAGCACTCAAGCTCACAGCTCCTCATATCTGTTCAGAAACTAGAAAAACAAGTTAAACAAGTACAAACCACAGACTGTCTGTGTCATGGCGAATACAGTCGCTGCTTTATTTATGTCTGTATAGGCCGTTGTTTTGAGTGTGGATGGTCGGAACATATAATGCGTTAGCTTAAGCCGATCTGCATTCAGAAAACACACATTTTAAAAGGTTTTTCGCCTGCCGTCTGTCTGCAGACTTGTCAAAGCATTAATTCATGATTTTTACTAACCGGTATCAGTATGTTGTTACTTCGGCATCATTTTGAAACGTGTATTACAATTAAATCACGGTCAAATATGTTCATTTTGTTGTAGTTGTAGCCCCCTTGCCAGCGATTCTCTCTAGTTTAGCATACTCAGCCCGACTCAAATGTTTGACGGCAAAGCTAGCTGTCTGAACAGATTCCGGAAGATTACAACTCGTCCTCAGGTTTTCAGCCTGGGCATGCTGGAAATCATGCCATTTGTGGTGGGGAATTCATAGGATCAGCTGGAAAGGAGGGAGTGATAAGTTCCTGTTAAGACAACATCCATTTGTGAATCAAGGAAAGTTAGGGGAGTCTCACAAAGACTCACAATGTGGGTGAACAGTGAAGTTAACATATGAAAAGTAGTTTGTAAATGCAACTTACATTTTTGACTGTCTACACATTTTTAGAAGACAAAAGGACAAGAGCTTTAATTCCTTAATTCCTTAATGTGTGTGTTGTTGTGTTTAAAAGGCCAGATGAATGTGCGATCATAACGTGTATGATAAAGGCATCAACTTAGAATCTGGTTAGTTAAACTCAATTTCATGTTACCCATTAGCTCAATACAACAGATCCCACAATGAAGCTCAGAGAATAAAACCAAACAATGAGCAAATAGCCTACTTCTTAGCTAAATTAAAGGGGACCTATCATGCAAAATGCACTTTGTGATGTCTTTTATACATAAATATGTGTCCCCGGTGCGTCAGGGAACTCATGCAGGGTCAGAAAATAAAACCCTCTCTCTTTTCCTCCGTACCCAAATCCTTTAAAAACAGGGAGCGGATACAGATTTGCTGCCGATCTGACGTCAAATCGGCAGCGGACCCACAGAGAGTTGCTATCAGAAACAATGCCTGACGTGTTTTGGACGTAATCTCGTCTTTGTTTACATTAGCAAGCCTCGCTAACACTCAGAGCTAACCTGTACTGAAGAGCACATGTGTTTAAAAAGCAGGAAATAAAAAAAGGAACTCACCTTGTGATAAACCCGCAAGAGAAAAAGCATTTGAGATACTGTTTCAGAAATAATCTTTCATGTGGTTTAGAACAGGATGGCGTTTTATCACAGCAGAATTTAACTTTATCTCCGGTAGAATTCTGATCAGGCATTAGCTCCGCCTCCTCTTTTTTTTTTTTTTCAAGCTAAGGACCCAAAATCCGCATTTCTCTAACAGGGCTGCAAAAGAGGGGTATGATGAGCAGTATGAGGCATTGCTACAATGGGTGATCTGTTTGGTAGATCACAGCACAAAACTTTAGACATGTTTTGTATAGGTATGGCCCTACAATATATGTTTCCAATATAGCATAATATAGACCCTCCAGAAAAACGCGGGCAAAAATCCTTGATTATGCGGGCTAAATTCCTTGATTATGCGGGCTAAAATCCTTGATTATGCGATTAAACATGCAGGGTTTTTATGTGATTT